TGATGGAACCACTTGGAGAAGAAAGTTGATTCTTCAAGTTTTCCATGCAAGGACCGAAGAACTCTTGAGGTAGAACTCCTTGAGGTGGCGGAATCACCTTGGAGGATTCTCCAATGGTGGAGAAGCAATGGAATAGGTTCGGTTACTTCCTAGCTTGTGAAGGAAGCTTGAGGAACCAAGGCAAAGTTTGAAGAAACTTTGATAGAAACCTTAGAGAGAGAGTTCTCTACGATTTTTAGTAGGGACTTTTGGAGAGAAATCTGAAGTTTTATTTCTCAAATGCTCAAAAGTGATTTGGGTCGTTCTCATTTTAGAACGTGCCGTTCCAATTGGAAATTTTGCATATGTTCAAAGGCTCCGGAACGGGCCGTTCCGAATTCAGTACGAACTGTTCCGGGTGCGCCAGGATGCCTATAAATAGGAGGCATGGGGGGGTAAAAAATTACAACTGAGAAGGGTGAAAAATTTTAGAGAGAGAAGAAAGAAAGAAACAAAGAAAGAAAGAGAGAGAAAGAGACAAAGAGAAAGAAAGAGAGGGAAAGAAAGAGGGAATCCAGAGGAGGAGGTCTTGCCCAAGTTCCAGCTCCTGCTTATCCATGTAAGGGGGGAGTGAGAAACCTCGCTCGGGAGTGTGGGGATAATTGTTGGATAGTTTGATTGTCGAATTGGCCCCCAATCCTTGCCTGGTGTTCTATTTTATTTTCTGTTTGCTCTACTTTGTTCCTTGTTGGAAGTAATAAATGAATATGTGATTAATGTTAAAAATAAATAAGTTTTAAATAAAAATGTTCTCTGTGGATCTCTGTGAAATCCTGTGTGGACCTTATGAGGAGTATTTATGACATGACTATGTGAAATATATACAAATGACATGAGACATAAGAATGGACTATTGAGACAAGCTGTGATTATGAGAATATAAAAAATTATGACATGACGTACTAAATGAAATTCTGTAATAAGTCAAATGTTGAGTCCATGAAATAATGAATGTATGACATGCATCATATGCATGTATTACTCCAGGTGTGCCGCTGAGGCCGCATACAGGCGATGCTAACAAGGCGTACCTTAGGGTCACCCACAATTGTAACATGCTAACAAGGTGTACCTTAGGGTCACTATGTAACCAAGTGTGCCTTAGGGTCACCAGTGGTGAATTGTGAAACTTCCTTATGGCGCCACATGCATGCATTTATGAGTCGAGTCCATGACATCATAACATGATAAACGAGTATATATGTGATATTGATTATTTATGTGTATTGTTTACATGTGACTTATATTTGTTGTGCGTGTGTGTGTGCTATTTAACCTTTATTTCTGCACCTGAAACTAAGTGAGATGTTTCTCACTCCCTTGTTGTTCTTGTATATGTTTAAATTATGTTGCAGGTGATCATCATCATGAGGATGTTGGTGACGAGGCTTAAGGCTTCAGTTGGGCATGCTCTGATAGGATGTGACATCGGGCATAGCTAGGCTTAGTTTGGGATATTATTGTTATAAAAGCCTTTTCTTTTCTTTTGTAATTTTGAACATTTTGGATAAAAGACTAAAATGTACATCTTTGTCATATTATTTTTATTACATTATTTGGAAGTTATAAATTAATTCCTAACTAGGAGGCACTGCCACCTTTGCTGGAATTAATTCTATATTTTCTTTTATATGATTTCTTGAGTTTTGATACTTATATGTTGACTTCTTATGATTTATGAGTTACGAATGTGAATCTTCTACCTTATGATATTTGAGACAATTATTTTATCAATAAAAGAGGTTGTCACTATGAAAGATTTTATTTACTCAAAAAGAAGAAAAAATTATTGTTTACATTTATTGTTTATTAATGTTGGGGTAGAGGGTGTCACATTTAGTGGTATCAGAGCAGGTCGATCCAATCGACCATGAATTATGAGTTTACTATGCTTATTTAGTAGTTGAATGATAGATTGAATTGATTGTGAAACTTGTTGGTATGTTAGTATGATGATTGATTATGTTTATTAATTGTATTATTTCCTTAGACTATGGCTGGTAGAAATGATCGTGCGATTGCTGATGCTCTTCAAGCATTAGCACAAGCTATGAATAATAACAATAGGGATGGAGTCGCTCCTAACTGGTTGGAGCAATTTCAACGAAATCACCCACCTACCTTTAAAGGAGGATATGACCCAGATGCTGCTATGAATTGGCTAACGGAGATCGAGAAGATCTTCAATGTTATAGATTGTCCCCTCGCTCAGAAGGTGAAGTTGGCCACCTTCATGTTGACTGCTGATGCTCACTTTTGGTGGGAAGGAGCACTTCGGAGGATGATTGATGGAGGGGTGCACTTGAATTGAGACAACTTCAAGAAGGTCTTTCTTGAGAAGTATTTCCCGGATGATGTGAGGAGTTGGAAAGAAATGGAATTCCTTGAACTGAATCAAGGGAACGACACAGTGGCAGAGTATGCTGGCAAATTTGATGCTTTAGTTCGTTATTGTACACACTACCATGGTGAGGGTGGTGAAAGAGCTAAATGCATAAAATTTGTAAATGGTCTGCGTCCTGAAGCGAAAACTACAATTAACTATCAGGAGATATATCACTTTCCAACTCTGGTCAATAAGTGCAGCATTTATGATCGTGACAACCGTGCTCATGCTACTTTCTATAAAGGAGTTGGAGGTCCTATCCGTGCTGTAAGTTCTAGTACTTCGGGTAGGAGTAAGCCTTACTCCGGTTCTAATAGATTTCAAGGGAGTAAAGTTGCTACTAATAAAAGCAAGTCGTTTACTAGAGGATCCACTGTTAGTGCTACTATAAGTGTTGGAGGGTCCGTGTCCACTCCTTCAGGAAGATGTGGAAAGTGTGGACGTATTGGTCATAATCAGTTTGAGTGTTGTGACAAGGAGGTTACTTGCTTCAATTGCAGGGGTAAGGGTCAAAAAAATTCCACTTCTAGCAGTAGACTCAGCCAATAGCTCCAACCTAGCCCTGATCTGCTCCCATACAACGTATGATCATAGCAGTCCATCCACATAGAAACAAAAGGGTAAGCTAGAATTCAATAATCAACCATATGAGTATAGGGAAAATACTATACTACACATTCATTACATCATCATCACAAACAACCATACAGTTCAACATAAAAACACAATTCATTCATACAACTTAGAAGCAACTTTAATACAACAACAACAACAACAATATACAACTTAATATTTAATGCGTTGTCAGGCATATACAACTGGGAGATCTCCAACAACTGAAGTTGAGCAGTCTAGGTGACATAAACCCTACCGAATCCAGCGTTTGACCTATCTCAACCAGGTCAGGTATAGAACAACGTTAGGAACTCCGAAGAGAACCAGGTATAGACAACAATAGTTGACTTCTCAGGTGTGCCACTTAGACTCGGAGGTCCAGTACTACTGTCAGAATAAAAGGGTTTGAGTATGAGCCTACCACGGCCTTGGCTAGCTTCACCAATCCACATATGGAGTTAGCCCACCCATTGTCCTCCAAGTACCACGCACCCTCTAGTACCTAGTCAAAGACTACATCTCTAACTAGATACCTTACTCAATTTGGTCATTCAACCATGACATGGATCGACTATCTGTCTATTTCCATGTCGCCCACACAGTACTAAGGGATTCAACTTTAAAACAGCTTTCAACTTTAAAACAACTTTCAACTTATCACATTAGTACTATGTATCTCAACATAGGACATATATCTTCACCATATGTCCCCAACTTTTCAACTTTACAACAATAGACATCTTTACAACTTTACAACAATAAGCACCTTACCACAATAGACAACTTACAGCAATACAACAATGGGCATCTTACGATGATAAGCAACTTACAACAATACGACTATAAACATCTTACAACAATAGGCAACTTTTTACAACTTTTACAACTTTAAACTACTTCAACTTATACATCTCAACTTATTAATAACTCAACAATAAACAACATAGAAACAATTTAGTTTCACAATGTATAACAACTTTAACAACATAACACATAGTAGCAACACACAACATATGATCAACTTAAGTCAACAACTACTCAATCCACACCCAACAACTTAACCAATTTCAAGGAAAACAACGCATGAACTTCCCTAACTCTCCTGAAATTAAACAATCTACATTCTAGCTTCCCTCACCTGAAAATTGGCTCAGATATTCAAAAACTGAACTGAAGTAGAATTTCCCCTCGAAGCTCAACTCGAAACTTCAATCCACCCAAATCAAGTTTTCTAATCTGAATTTCAAGAAATGACAGGAGACATTAGTTGTCTAGAGAAGAAAATGAATCATACAGAGGAATTTGGGAGAGAAAGAGAGAACCAGGTATAGACAACAATAGTTGACTTCTCAGGTGTGCCACTTAGACTCGGAGGTCCAGTACTACTGTCAGAATAAAAGGGTTTGAGTATGAGCCTACCACGGCCTTGGCTAGCTTCACCAATCCACATATGGAGTTAGCCCACCCATTGTCCTCCAAGTACCACGCACCCTCTAGTACCTAGTCAAAGACTACATCTCTAACTAGATACCTTACTCAATTTGGTCATTCAACCATGACATGGATCGACTATCTGTCTATTTCCATGTCGCCCACACAGTACTAAGGGATTCAACTTTAAAACAGCTTTCAACTTTAAAACAACTTTCAACTTATCACATTAGTACTATGTATCTCAACATAGGACATATATCTTCACCATATGTCCCCAACTTTTCAACTTTACAACAATAGAGGGTGTGAGTTGACCTATAAGAGTATTAAGTTTGGAGCTTTGAGAGTGACTAATAGCTTGATAGATGATATTAGAGAAGGTCAGAAGATAGATCATTTCTTATTGAGTCAAGTAGAGAAGTTGAATCAAGGTGTGGAGAGTGAGTTTAGATTTGGAGTGGATGGAGTGTTGAGATTTAAGGATAAGTTGTGCATTCCCAATATGCCAGAGCTTAAGAGAGCAATCCTAGAAGAAAGTCATAAGAGTAGCCTTAGTATCCATCCAGGAGCCACTAAGATGTACCAAGACCTTAAGAAGATGTTTTGGTGGCCTAAGATGAAGAGGGAAGTGGAGGAATTTGTGTATGCTTGCTTAGTATGTCAGAAAGCTAAGGTAGAACACCAAAAACCTTCAGGTTTGATGCAACCTTTAGATGTGCCTGGGTGGAAATGGGATAACATCTCTATGGATTTTGTAGTTGGGTTACCTAAGACCGTGAAGAACTTGGATGCTATATGGGTCATTGTGGATAGATTGATTAAGTATGCCCATTTTATTCCCATTAATATTAGGTACCCTTTGGAGATGTTAACCAAGTTGTACATCAGTGAGATCGTGAGGTTGCATGGAGTTCCTAATAGTATAGTGTCTAATAGTGATCATAGGTTCACCTCTAGATTTTGGGAGAGTTTGCATAAGGCTTTAGGCACTAAGCTTAGATTGAGTTTAGCCTACCATCTCCAAACAGATGGCCAAACTGAGAGAACTATACAGTCTTTGGAAGACTTGTTGAGGGCCTGCATCTTAGAACATGGGGGTAGTTGGGATAGTTTCCTACCTTTGATAGAGTTTACCTACAATAATAGCCACCATTCCAGTATTGGGATGGCACCCTATGAGGCTTTGTATGGTAGGAGATGTAGAACACCTTTATGTTGGGTAGAACCTGGAGAGAATGCCATGTTAAGACCTGAGATAGTTCAACAAACTACTGAACAGGTTAAGATGATCCAAGAGAGGATGAGAGCAACCCAGAGTAGGCAAAAGAGTTATAATGACAAGAGGAGAAAAGACCTTGAGTTTAAAGAAGGTGATCATGTATTCCTTAAAGTCACTCCTTGGACAGGAGTAGGCAGAGCACTGAAATCCCGTAAGCTTACTCCACGTTTCATCGGTCCTTATCAAGTTCTTAAAAGGATCGGTGAAGTAGCCTATCAAATTGCCTTGCCTCCATCTCTTTCAAATCTCCATAGTGTCTTCCATGTTTCCCAACTCAGAAAATATGTCCATGATCCTTCCCATATCATTGACAACATTCAGTTGAAGGATAATCTTACCTATGAAACGGTTCCTTTAAGGATTGATGACACGAGGGTGAAACAACTGATAGGAAAGGAAATTTCTTTGGTTAAGGTCGTTTGGGGAGGAAATTTTGAAGAAAGTGCTACATGGGAATTAGAAAGCAAAATGCGAGAAGCTTATCCATTTCTATTTTCAAGTAAATTTCGGGGTAGAAATTTCTAAAAGAATGGGAGAATTGTAACACCCTGAATATTCTACTAATATAATGTTGATTATTATTTTTATATATTTATTTTTGTTAATTAAAGGGGTTTTATAGAGGTTTGTAATAATTTAAATTATTTATGAAAAATTTTATAAAATTCTGTCTTTTACGCCGGAACGAGCTGTTCCAAAAGTGGAACGGGCCATTCCAAACGAAGATAATATACTGTTTTTGAAGTAGCAGAACGGGCCATTCCAAAAGTGGAACGGACCGTTCCAAAGTAATAAAAAAGCCTATTTGGGTTTTTCTGGAACGGGCCGTTCCCAGAGTGAAACGGGCCGTTCCAAGAGTCGAAAATTGCCTAAAAAGTTTAGGTAGAAACTGGTCGTTCTAATAATAGTCAATGTGTGTTCACATGGACTCCAGAACGGGCCGTTCTAATTTTAGAACGGGCCGTTCTGCTTTTTGAAAACGGCCCGTTCTCATTTTAGAACGGGCTGTTCTAGTTAGAAATTTTGCATATGTTCAAAGGCTCCGGAACGGGTCGTTCCGAATTCAGTACGGGCCGTTCCGGGTGCGCCAGGATGCTTATAAATAGGAGGCATGGGGGGGTGAAAAATTACAACTCAGAAGGGTGAAAAACTTTAGAGAGAGAAGAAAGAAAGAGAGAGAGAGAGAGAGAAAGAAAGAGAAAGAGAGAAAGAGAGAAAGAGAAAGAGAGAAAGGGAAAGAAAGAGGGAATCTAGAGGAGGAGGTCCTGCCTAAGTTCCAGCTCCTGCTTATCCAGGTAAGGGGGGAGTGAGAAACCTCGCTCGGGGGTGTGGGGATAATTGTTGGATAGTTTGATTGTCGGATTGGCCCCCAATCCTTGCTTGGTGTTCTGTTTTATTTTCTGTTTGCTCTACTTTGTTCCTTGTTGGAAGTAATAAATGAATATGTGATTAATGTTAAAAATAAATGTTTTAAATAAGAATGTTCTCTGTGGATCTCTGTGAAATCCTGTGCGGACCTTATGAGGAGTATTTATGACATGACTATGTGAAATATATACAAATGACATGAGACATAAGAATGGACTATTGAGACAAGCTGTGATTATGAGAATATAAAAAATGATGACATGACGTACTAAATGAAATTCTGTAATAAGTTAAATGTTGAGTCCATGAAATAATGAATGTATGACATGCATCATATGCATATATTACTCCAGGTGTGCCGCTGAGGCCGCATACCGGTGATGCTAACAAGGTGTACCTTAGGGTCACCCACAGTTGTAACATGCTAACAAGGTGTACCTTAGGGTCACCCACAGTTGTAACATTCTAACAAGGTGTACCTTAGGGTCACCCACAGTTGTAACATGCTAACAAGGTGTACCTTAGGGTCACCCACAGTTGTAACATTCTAACAAGGTGTACCTTAGGGTCACCCACAGTTGTAACATGCTAATAAGGTGTACTTTAGGGTCACCCACAATTGTAACATGCTAACAAGGTGTACCTTAGGGTCACCACTGATGTAACCAGGTGTGCCTTAGGGTCACCAGTGGTGAATTGATAAACTTCCTTATGGCGCCACATGCATGCATTTATGAGTTGAGTCCATGACATGATAACATGATAAACGAGTATATATGTGATATTGATTATTTATGTGTATTGTTTACATGTGACTTATTTTTGTTGTGCGTGTGTGTGTGCTATCTAACCT